ATCTGCTGCAGAATAGAATGGCTACACTCTCATGCACTTATGATACTATATCAGTATTGCCTAAATAACACAACTGTTATGTAAAGATGTAACCCTGAACAGCTATTAATTTCCTAGCAGTTTTTGAATTAGAGCGAATATGTAAAGCCCTTAGTTGGGCTTTTGTTAATTAAGGCTCTGGTTGGAGACAATTTGTGAGAGTGAAGAGGGAAAGTGGGTATAAAGGAAAGAAAAAGGTGACCTGCACCAGAGGGAATCTGTCTTCCTCCCATCTATTACTATACCGTATAAACTTTTCATATCACATGGACACTTGTCTTTTTAAAAAATCAACAAACCTTAACATCAGATACATTAATTGGTGTTCCTTCTTGCAGTTCCTTGTACAGCAAGTGAAGAAGACATGAAAAGGAACAATATACAGTTGAAGTGGAAATACGACTCAAAACTGTATGCAGAATCTGGAGATATTACAGAATTTGCCTGTAACTGGGGCTACCGTGCAGATCGTAATTCTCCTCCATTCAGAGTACAGTGTATAGATGGCAGATTCGAATATCCAAGATGTGTAAGATGGGTATGTATATTGTGGTTAAAACTATAGCAACAAAAACTCCTTGCATTCATTGATTGAGCTTTAGAATCTGTGGAACCTGTAGGAGGTCATGTGCATTAGAAAAAGAATAACTTCCTTTATGGGTGAATGGGTTGGTCTCAGTACACAGAGATATCTCCAGATTGAGTGCCCACCTGAAACCCAACCCAATCACATAGGGTCCACTTTTTGGTTTAGATGTATGGCCTGAATGTTTTTGGTGTTCACATACGGTTTGAGTAACTAGCAAAAGCTAATTACATCTAGTTGACAAGGTGCTTGGGCATATCCTGGCCTTTTGCTTGGTCACATGCCTGGTTGGACCATCACACCTTGTCAATTAGCCCATGTAGGTACAGTGGTGCCTCGCATAACGAGTGCACCGTTTAATGATGAATCCACATAGCGATCTGTTTTTTGCGACCGCTAATGCGATCGCATTGCGATGTTTAGATAGGGTAAACATTGCATTGTGATGATCGGTAAGCGTTTCGCTTACCAATCTTCGCATTGCGATGTTTTTAGAACAGCTGATTGGTGGTTCCAAAATAGCCGCCGGGTGCACAAAATGGCCACCGCAAGTGTTTTTGCGCCCTGCCCTCACTTACTGAGGCCTCGAAAATGGCGGTGCTATGGAGGATCTTCGCTGAACTGTGAGTTTTCACCCCATAGGAACGCATTGAAGGGGTTTCAATGCATTCTTATGGGGTTTTTAGTTCCGTTTAGCGATGTTTCTGGATAGCGACGTTAATCCTGGAATGGATTAACGTCACTATGCGGGGCACCACTGTACTGTAATGGTTTCTTTATCCCTCGTTATCATGTCACTATCTATTTTTGTTCCTGTCTTCAGCTTTACAGGCTTTGGTCCTTGTCTTTCCTTTGGTTAGTTAGAGATAAAACAGAAGTATTTCGGCTGTTTGAGTTTGAGAGAGGAGTGGGAAAACTATTTCCAATGGTGCTCAAGTGATTTAAGAAAATATTCACATGCTGTATATTGTTTGTTCTTCTACATTGATATTTCTGAACAACATTTGCCCGCATTGCATTTTAAATCAGTAAAGGTCAAGAGGAGATAAGTTCAATCTTTCCACCCAGGACTGAGCCTGTACCATCCCTGGAAATGTGCCAAAATGTGCAAAAATACTGAAAAATCAAAAAAGGAAGAGGCTGGGGGGGGGACACAGCCCTCCCCCCCATTTTATTGCAAATCAGACACCCTTGGAGGCTTCAGGGAACACAACATGACTTTTTCCCAGATGGGGAGGGAGTGGGAGAGACGTGGCGGGCGCAAGAAAAAGTTCAGAGGCTGCCAAAACAGTGCTGGAGATGCATGCAGCTTGCAGGCTGCACTTTGGCTGCCTCTCTGCCATGGCTTAAAAACCAATGGTGGGATTTTTTAAAAAAAATACTGCCTCTGAAATGATAACAAAAGTTATGCATAGGCAGATTCATATGAATGAATTATTAGATTCAGAAGCAGAATATCAACATTTTAGAATATTTTATGTTACTTTACTCTTAACTCCCTTGTCTTAATCTGGTTCCAGAATGTGTTTTTTTAGTACTATATTCTCTGCATGGTCAATTGGTTGTATCTAAATTGTTAACTACACTGAGAACACACTGAATAGGTATCCTCATGGTGCAGTGGTTAAACTGCTGTACTGCAGCCCAAACTCTGCTCATGACCCGGGGTTCAATCCCACGTAGCCGGCGCAAGGTTGACTCAGCCTTCTATCCTTCCGAGGATGGTAAAAATGAGTTTCCAGCTCACTGGGTGTGGGGTGAAATGTGTAGCCTGCATAATTAACTTATAAACTGCCCAAAGAGAGTGCTTGAAGCACTATGGGGTGGTATATAAGCAGCACGGTTTGCTTTTTTGCTTTTGAAATTGCTGAGATTGAAATCAATTCCAAACTGTTCCCACTGATTTCACTGGGACTTAAGTACAGCTAACATTGTCTAGAGCCAGTTCTATATTATTAATATGCCATTTAGTTGTTCTTGGACACAATCCTGTTAGCGTAACTTGACATAACCTGGATCAGGCGCTGGAAACATTTAATTTAAACTTATGGAAAGTTTTCACCTCCTGTCAGGTTCTAAGGATTCATGTGTACTAATGATTGGATTCAGTGTCAGAATATCATCATTTTAGTAGATTCTATGTGTCCATACTCTTAACCTCCTCATTTTTATCTTGTTCAGAAAACTTTTTAAAAAATCTTATGCTGTCTGTGTGTTTGACCAGTTTTATCTAACTCATTGGCTACACTGAGATCTTACTGCAACTGATGAGACTTTGATGTCAATTACTGATTTTTTCCCCACTGATTTCAGATTGACTCAATGAAGTTGATAGGACTTTAATTAGTCCTGACAAACTTATTTTTATAGTGAGTTTATTCCAAGAACAAGTAATTCCAGATGTACAAAGAAAACCAGTATGCATTGGAGTGGGAGGAAAGGTGGAGAAATCTTCATAGTCAGAAAATTGTATCTCCTCCAGACCTTGCAGTGGATTCAACCCCATTCACTCTTGGCTTGTTCACAAAGCATGGTAATTAGAGATGTCCATCAAAGTTGATGAACCACGAATCTCCTCCCCATGAACCAACAAACCATGAATCAGTTTGTCGATTCTTCAGGGGAATCTTTTAGACAGCTGGAGGCTAAAAGAAAAAGGTGATTCCGCAGCTGCACAGCCTGCCCCTCCTTCCCACTATCCCTGTTGCCTCCCTACCTTGGCTGCCACAGTCTGTGTCACCACTGCCACCTCCATCTGTGGAGGCCTTGGCCATGGCAGCTTCCGCAGCCACCATTGCTTGCTGCAATTGTCTATACTGCTATGGCCTGCCCTAAGGGAATCTGAGCTGCTCTTTGCAAAGATGGCGGCTGCGGTTTCCTTGCCCATTAGAAGCTGCAGCCACCATCTTTGCAAAGGGCAGCCAGTGTCCCTTACAACAGGCTGTGGTTGCGGAGGTCACCACAGCAGGCGGCAATGGATGGCGGCACTGCCAGGCAGTGGCAGATGGTGGTAGCTGCTAAGGGAGGGAGGGGAAGGGGTGAGGTACCAACTGTAGGGGGTTAATGGCTGTGAGATTGGCCAGTTAACTGTGGGCCTGCCAATCAGCTGACCATAGGCAGGGAGGGAAGGCTAGCCTTCCTATGGGGGACGAATAAAAATGGAGCAATATTAGTCCCTTCATATTCATCAGGGTCTCTGGAACTCAAATACAAAGGGATGAATATTTAACAAATCAGTGATTTTTAACGAATATGGTGATTCTTTTTTTATTCATCCTCATGTCTAATAGTAATACATATAAGTTATTGATAGGTAATATCTTTAAAACATATTTAAATTAATTTAAATCATTTTAGAACTTATTTAGAGCAATATTTTAAAATATTTCACAATACTAACACTTAAGATTACCTGGAATTGTCAGAATTTATGGTGGGGTTATGCTGATCCCAGCGCATTGTTCTCTTTGACTACAGTGAAGTATTTCTTTAACAAAACTTCAACAAAAAGTTTGAAAACCTATTCCTTTCCTCCCAAACCTCAGTTCCGTTGCAGGCATTAAATTATACTGACAAATAAAAACATGATTTGAAACTATGTCACCTGTCCTGGACTTATCTTCTCCTGGGTAAAAACAATAGCAGATTTGGTTGTGTTGGATACTTTCGTTTTCATTGGCACAGAAGCAAATGAAGATGTCATTTTTGATAGGTAGCTGAAATGGCTAAAGGTGTGCCCTGCAGATTGAGAAGTATGTGGAAATGTCAGAAATGTTAGCATCACAAGGCCATATCTATAGAATTTTTTCATATTAAGTGCCATTATTATCCAACAAGTGAAGGAACCGGTGTTTGCAAGCATTCCTTTAGAAAAGATTGACTTTTTCACCACACATCAGAACTATATCCTACAATGCTGAGAATGGCTAGCGTATATCAACAGACAAAGAGTTTTTGACCTTTGAATGTAATGCAGTTATTCTTGATGGTAAATAAAGAACAGAGCACCATGGAATGTTGAGAGCATTTAAATATTGATTTTCAGAAATAGCATGATCTCCATGTCCTCAGTCATGCTAATACCATTAGTTTCTTGGCTTAATGCCTCAAAATATTGAAATTGATGTGACTAAGGTACAACTATGTTAATAGAGTCATATACTATTGCTTGTGCATAGAAGCAATTTCTTCTCATTCCTGTAACATCTTGTTTTCTTGCAGACCAAGTGATATCTACACAAATATAATTGCACACAATTTAGGCATCTAGCCTTCTTCATTCACCATTTTCTTTGTATTTGACAGATATAAGATGACGGAGGAGAAGTGTACAATCAAGATTTTTAACCAGCATATCACCTTTCAGAATCATTGATCACTTATCAAGTAATTAAATTCATCAAGATTTTTACAAATGCCTTTTTCATGGTTTTTATGCACCTGCTCACAGTGAATTATTATGAATATTGAAAATATTTTATGGAAGAAAAGCCTACAAATTTATTGAAGGTGAAGTTATACAAAAGTTTATGCATTAGTCTAGCCAATGTTTTTAATAACTCATCTTAAAACAGTGCAAATCCAACATTAAAGAAGGGAAAAAGATACTATAATGCAAACATTGTACATATGAACTACCAATGGGAACTAGCAGTGCTAGATGGCCGTATGTACTGCAAGTGAATATTTTTACCTGTGAGGATTTTGTTTATATCTGAAAAGTAACAATAAAAGCACTTAGTAGCAAAAATGACTTTCTTTATTACTGTACAATGAAAACAGTCTATGATACATTGGCCGAAAATTCTGCTGTTTTAACTTACAATTTATAAGACGGATTATATCATCAACAAGGATGCTTTTTAGGAAAATAAAAAAATTCAGTTCCCATCCCTTCTGATATGTCCTGAGTTCTCTTGTGGCTGACCCATTGCATCATGGGAAAGTTCTTCAGACTTACGGAGCAATGAGGAGTCTTTAATTTTCTAAAATCTCTGTCAGCAGGGTGATTTTTACCTCCATGATATTGCTTTGCTCACCCAACCCAGAATAAAGAGGCAGGACACAGGAGATGGGTTGAAAATTTGGGCTGCAACTTGATTAAATATAGAACTTAACCCTCTCAATCTGTACAGGGGAGGAGCCTACCATAGTGCAGGTGCAGAGTCCTGGCCTGGAGCCAGGGTTCCCATCTGAGCTCCACTCTAACTTTAAACGGGTGAGTCCCAAGTCCCAAAGACCTGCTGTCTCTAAAACAGCCCATCTTGGGCAGGTCAAGAATCAAACAATTCCCCAACCCATCAGCTGCCCAGTGCTTTGACCTATGGGGTCCGCGGAAGTCCCCACATATCCCCATCCTGCACTATCCACCATTGTGAAGGAGAGACCCCACCCAGATTGATCCAGTAGTGCCTAAGTGCAAATACCAGCATGGGATAGGCAAACATCTCCTGTCCACTTTCAGCCATTTGGGTGAGAAGGTCAAAAATCCCTATCCTGCCCATTAGGCAACCAGATGGACTCACACAGGGTTCCTGGAGCAGGCGGGTGGGTTGTAAGCCTTGAAGGAGGCTGAGGCTGGGGCCAGGTGGTCTCAAATAAGGTGCTCTGACCTTGCCCCTTCACAGGCATGGAACACAATGCATCCCATGCTAGCCTCCCCTCTAGAGGAAGAGGGCAAACAGCCCCTACCAGTGCTCAGTGGAGGCAAGCCTTGCCCTCCCAACCCGGCTAAAGAGGCAAGACACAGGTGATAGGTTGAAAATTATGGCCACAAAATTACAAAACAGAGGACTTAACACTCCCAATCTATACAGGGGAGGGCCCTGCCATAATGTCGAATCCTGGACTGGAGCCGGGGATTCCACCTGATCTCCAACCTGAAATGTGTGAGTCCCAAGCCCTGAAGATGTGCTGTCCTCAAGCTGACTAATGATTGAATGGCCTCCCCTATTTGCTGGCCTCCCAGAACTATGACATATGTGGCCCACAGCCCGAGGAGGCCCACTATACATTCCCCTCCCATCATCATGACCTCAGGATCCACGGTACCAGCAGGTTGGATGGTCTAGCACCCCCAGCTGCCTGACTGGGAACTCACCACTAATTTTCCCTTCTGCACTTCCCACCAAGGCATAGGAACTAGGCTATGGTCCCAGATGGCCCCAATGTGAAAAGAGTGGGTGCTGAAACACCAGCCATGAAGCCCAGCCTGCTGCAACATGGCAGAGGTTAGTTTCTAAATTGGAACTTAGGGGGGGAACATCTGTATGTCAAAGAAGGGGTCCCTGATGCTTCGGGAACCGATTCTTCGCAAAACGACAATTTTCCTCCAGCTGATCGGCAGTTTCAAAATGGCCTCCGGGTAAATAAAATGGCCCCCCGCTGTTTTCTGGGATGGATTCCTCACAAGACAGCCACCGAAAATGGCCGGCCTATGGAGGATCTTTGCTGGACGGTGAGTTTCCAGCCCATTGGAACGCATTGAAGGGGTTTCAGTGTGTTTCAATGGGCTTTTTATTTTCACATTATGACATTTTCGTTCTACAGCGATTTCGCTGGAACAAATTAACATTGTAATGTGAGACACTACTGTATATAATATTCCTTCTATTTCTTTATCTTCTCTAATCGTGTTTGCTAACAACTCTATTATTCTTGCCTCATTCCTTGGCCTAGAGAACTAATTTCTTTGTTTGTGCCACTGCAAAGCCAAGAGCTGATGAAGCCATGATTTCTGTGGTGTAGTGTGAGGGCACAAATTAAACCTATGGCCTATGGCCTGGATTACTCACCTGTGGAATGGCCTGCTTCTGGAATGCAAAATCTTTGGTTAACTCCATACACAGCACAACTGACTGTTTTCTGTTGGCAAAAAGAGCTGAGCTTTCATTCCAGCCTGGACTTTTCCATGATGGAATGAGCAAAAAAAGACTGACAACAAGGCTTTTGCTGAGCGGGAAAGACAATGGAACAGTATGGACAGGTTACAAGGTTGAATATGTTCGGAGGTTCCAAGCCCAGAGCATACCCTGAGAAGATGCTATGGTCGCATCATGTACCACAGGAATAAAGAAAAGTGGAGCAATGCACTTGTTATCCCAGCTTGCCATCTACCAACACAGAACTG